GATTCTCTTGCCTCAGCCTCCCAAGTAGCTAGGACTACAGGCGCCTGCCACAACACCCAGCCATTTTTTGGTTGTAGTTGTCATTGCTGTTTAGTGGGCCTGGGCTGGATTCGAACCCCCCAGCTCTGGTGTATGTGGCTGGTGCCTTAGCCACTTGAGGTATAGGCACCGAGTCTAGGTATTAATTTTCTGTTGGCTAAGTTGTTTTCAATTTTTTTCCTGCATTCTGTAGGTTTTTATTCTGTCTATTGTTTCTTTTGCTGTGCAGAAGCTTTTTAGTTTTATAATCCCATTTGTTTATTTTTGCTTTTGTTGCCTGTGCTTTTGAGGTCTGATTCATAAAATCTTTCCCACACCAGTATCTTGAAGCATTTTACCTGTGTTTTCTTCTTTATATTTATATATAGGTCGCTTTATATTTAGGTCTCTGATCCATTTGGAGTTGATACTTGTATGGGGGAGGGAGGTAGGAGTCTAGTTTCATTCTTCTTCTTCTTATTTTTTTTTTTTTAAACAGAGTCTCAAGCTGTCACTCTGGGTAGAGTGCCCTTGTGTCACAGCTCACAACAACCTCAAACTCTTGGGCTTAAGTGATTCTTTTGCCTCAGCCTCCCAAGTAGCTGGGACTACAGTGGCCCGCCCCAACACCCTGGCTATGTTTTTTGTTGTTGTTGTAGTTGTCATTGTTGTTTAGCTGGCCTAGGCTGGGCTTAAACCCAGCAGCCTGGGTGTATGTGGCTTGGGCCCTACTCACTGAGCTATGGGTGCTACCTGTTTTTAACTTTGACTTTTTTGTAATAATACTTGGCTTAAAACATGTGTTGTTACACAACAAAATTTTCTTTCTTTTTTTTTGCTGTTTTTGGCCAGGGCTGGGTTTGAACCTGCCACCTCCAGCATATGGGACTGGCACCCTACACTTTTGAGCCACAGGCACCGCCCCAAATTTTCTTTCTTTATATACTTATTCTATAAGTATTTTCTATTTTTAAACTTTTTATTGTTTTAAATTTTAAATGTTTTTGTTGAAAATTAAGACACAAATGCACACGTTAGCCTAGGCCTGTGCAGGGTGAGGATGACCAATATCACTGTCTTCCACCTACATTCTTGTCCCACTGGAAGGTCATCATGGACAGTAACAGGCATGAAACTGTCATCTCCTGTGATAACAATGCCTTCTTCTGGAATTCCTCCTGAAGGTCCTGCCTGAGACTGTTTTTCTGATTAACTTTTTAAAAAGTTGACACATAATATTTTACATATTTGTCAAGTATATGTGATATTTTATTACATGCACAGAATGAGCAATGATAAAATCAGGATGTTTGGGGGTCTCTATGACCTTGAGTACTTATCATTTCTATGTGTTAGGAACATTTAAATTCTCTCTTTTAGCCACTTGGAAATATACCATAAATTGTTGCTGACTATTGTCACCCTACTCTCCTATGGATCATCAGAACTCAGAATTTCTAACTAGATGTATATATGTACCCATTGACTAGCATCTCTTCGTCCCACCCTCCCGCTCATACACCCTTTCTAGCTTCTGGTATCTATCATTTCTACTGTCTATTTCCATGAGATCAACTTTTTTTTTTTAACTCCCATTTATGAATGAGAACACACGGTATTTGTCTTTCAGTGCCTAGTTTATTTCATTTAAAATAACAACTTCCAGTCCCATGCATGTTGCTGCAAATGACATGATTTCATTCTTTTTAATGGCTAAATAGTACACTTAGGTTGATTCCACATCTTGGCTTTGGCAAATAGTACTGCAATAAAGAAGTGAGTGGCATCATAGCTTATAGAAACCTCAAACTCCTGGGCTCAAGGCAATTTGCTTGCCTCAACCTCCTGAGTAGCTGGGACTACGGGTGCTTGTCACAACACTGGCTTTATTTTTGTAGAAACTGGGATCTTGGTCTTGCTCAGGCTGATCGATAACACACAAGCTCAGGTAATCCACTGGCCTCAGCCTTGCAGAGTGTGAAGATTATAGCCATGAGCCCTTGAGCCCAGCCTAGCATTCTTGTCTTGTTAGAGAAAATGCTTTTCATTTTTCCTCATCAGTGTGATGTTAGCAGTGAGTTTGTCATATATAGCTTTTATTATGTTAATGTGTGTTTCTTCTATGCCTAGTTTGTTGACTACTTTTATCATGAAGGGATATTGAATTTTATCAAATGATTTTTTAGCATCAATTAAATGATCATATGGTTTTTGTCCTTCATTTAGTTGATGTGATGTATCATGTTTATTGATTTGCATATGTTGAACCATCCCTGCATTCCTGAGATAAATCTCAGTTGATCATGGCATATTATTTTTTTTCTGGTGTATTATTTTTTTTATGGGCTGTTGGATTCAGTTTGCTAGTATTTTGTTGAGAATTTATGCATCTGTGTTCATCATTGATATTGGCTTGTATTTTCTTTTTTGGTTGCATTCTTATCTGGTTTTGGCATCAGGGTAATGCTGGCTTCATAGAATAAATTGGGGAGATTTTTTTCTTCAATTTTTTCAAGTACTTTAGGGATAATTGGTGTTAGTTCTGTTCTGAAAGTTTAGTTAAAAAAAAAACAAACAACAAAAAAAGAAAGTTTGGTAGAATTAAGCAGTGAAGCCACTGGGTCTTGGACTTTTTTTTGTTGGAAGACTTTTTATTACTGATTTATTATGATTGCATCATCCATATTGGTCAGTTCAGATTTTCTGTTGCTTCCTGATTCAATCTTGGTAGGTCATATGTATCCAGAAATTTGTCCACTTTCTCTAGGATTAGCGTTAATGTATAGCTATTAATAACAGTCTCTGATAATTTTTTATATTTCTGTGGTATTGGTTGTAATGTTTCCTATTTCATTTATGATTTTATTTAGGTGTTCTGCCTTTTTTTTTCTCGCTTGGTTTAGCAAGTAGTTTCTTGATTTTGATTATTTTCTCAGAAAATCAACTTTTAGTTTCATTGATCCTTTGTATTTTTTTTCCTTTGGTCTGTTTTTCATTTGGTTCTGCTCTGATCTTTATTTTTTCTTTCCTTCTACTAATTTTGGGATTGGTTTATCCTTGCTTCTCTAGCTTCTTGAGGTTCACTGTTAGATTGTTTGAAATCTTTCTACTATTCTACTATGTGAATTAAAATGAGTGTAGAAATATGGAAATATGTTTTCCACTGGTAGTGGGAACACTTATAGGGTCACGGACAGTGGTTATGGCCCCAATCTTAGCCTTGATCTTCAGGGCTATTGTTTATGCCACCTCCACAGAGAGCTATTCTGGATGTGTTGTCTACAGTAAGAGACCAATACTTCCATCACCATCATTATTACCATACCTGGGGAAGAGGCAGGGAGGGTGATTTAAGATTGAGAGACTCAGGGAAGGCACAGTGGCAGGGAGGAGGTTTTCAGTGTCAGCAGGGCATTGAAGTCCCAGTAACATGCGTTTTAAGCATGAGTAGGTGTGTTATTGGTGTCTAACACCATACTATTAATGGAACTCACTGAGGTGAAAGGTAACTCCATTCTTTTTTCTCATTTGTCCACAGTGGGTCTGGGAAATTGGCTAGGTGAAAGCGAAAGTACTGACACCAGCAACCTGCTGAAGCAGTACTGGGAAGCAAATCACTAATGGGGGTAGTGGCCGGGCAGACACCTCTGGGAGGGATTGGCCAACTCAGGCACCTGAACCAGAATAAGACCCTGCAGAAGGGCTCAGTGCCCGTAGCTTAGTTAGTAGGGCGCTGGCCACATACACCAAAGCCCAGCCCAGGCCTGCTAAACAACAATGACAACTGCAACCAAAAAAATAGCAGGTGGGCAGTTCCAACTACTTGGGAGGCTGAGGCAAGAGAATTGCTTGAGCCCAACAGTCTGAGGTTGTTGTGAGCTGTGACGCTATGGCACTCTATGGAGGGCGACATAGTGAGATTCTGTCTTCCAAAAAAAAAAAAAAAAAAAGATCCTGTAGAACAGGCGTCCTGCGGGCCACATGTGGCCAGCCCAGGACATTTATCCAGCCCATTGGATGTTTTTGCCACCGCTGCCTGTCCTTTTAAACTATAGTTTGGCCCTCCAACAGTCTGAGGGACAGTGAATTGGCCCCCTGTTTAAAAAGTTTGACGACCCTGCAGTGTAGAAGGAGATACCTAACTTGAGCTAGGGATAGAGAATAGGTTTGCTGGCCAGAGGGCTAGAGGAGTTCGTCCTTTTGTGTGTTTTCTGTTTCATGAGCATTTCTCTCAAAAAACTTCTGAGTCTCACTAAGTACAATAAAGGAAAACAGTTATAAATGTTTCTGTGTTGTGGCTGAGTGGGGTTGGGGCTGTGGTTGTTGGGGGAGGGGGCAGGAAAGAAAGAAGGGCTTTTCCAGGAGAAGAGTCTCTTCCCCACCTCACAAAGTATTTCTTTCTGAGTTTTTCTTCTACACTCATCTCTTCAGTGTCTGTGGACACTTATTTGTGGTTTGGTTTAGGCCAGAGCCCTTTCTACAGAGACACCCCAGAGACTCCTGTGTGCTCCATCGTTAATGGTATGGGTGACTGGGACTGGGCTACCTAGAACTGTTTTCAACTCTGTAGAGTGAGACGGAAAAGCTTCACCTCACTCCACTATGGTAATTCCAGACACCATACCATTCACCCCAAATAACACTCAGAAATACTGGATATTGAATGTCAAAATAGACATTAGGGGTCCAATTTCATGATATGTCATGTTGGATAGTGAGATAACAGGACCATGCTGAAGAGGAAGTGGAGAGAAGCAGGACTCCATGAAGTGAGGAATATGAGGAAAAAGTAAAAGACTCAGGGTAGAAGAAAGAGGCAGACATCATGCGATTTTTCTGAACTGTGCTGGAACTATGGACCCTGTCACCTCCCTGCCTCCCCCAGAGTTAGTTGAAGGGAGCAAATGCTTGAAAGTAAGAAGCAGCTGAGCATGGAGTTTTCTTCATTAGGGAGAGATCCTTCAAGTCCCACAATAGATAGATAGATAGGGTTGGAAAATTTTTAATAATTCCTTACTTCAAGCCCCCGCCCCTACACCAACTTGGAGTGACTCATTGGTAGTGAGTAGTAACAGCAATAACATCATAAGGGTGTTACTACTATCCAAACGATCATTCCAGTGGAGGGCTTTTATTTTATTTTTTAATTTTTATTTTCTTTTAAGTTTGGGAAGTAGTTTCAACCTGAAGAGTAGTTTCTGGAATAAACAAACCTCCTTGTTCCAGATGTAGGCTCTGGTGGCACGGGAAGGCCCCTTGGAAATCTGATTATTGTTCCAATCCGTGTTGAAATATACCAAGAAAAAGAGTCTGGTACCATGACATTTCCCTCCTATGCTGAAGGCGCTCCCCACATAATTTGCAGTACAAATTTAGAGGCACCTGAATATGTGCCCTGCTTCGTGTGCTCTGTTGAGAAGAAGAGGTGAAAATAAAGAGTCTGAGTCTCCTAAGTTCACGCTTTCACATGTGAGTGGTTGGGTTTTCCTTGCTCAATGTCTGGCTCTGTTTTCACACCTAAAACTGGAGCTTGCATGGGCAAGAGGAGCACTTATTAAACTACGTTCAGAGCGTGAGGAAATAGTTTTGAGACAATCCATTGGTTCTCCAATTACAAATCATCTCAATATTGAAACAGCTTAATTTTACTTAATGACAATTAAAAATGTTTGCCGTTTTCTGTCACAATGTAACCACCTCCAAGGGAGAGCCCAGGCAATGCGATCCTCAGCGTGGGACAGGTTCGGTCACCTGCAGGTCTCGCACGCCCCCTCCCGGCCACTCCGCCTTGAGCCAGGGCCGGGCTGGGGAAGCGAAAGCGAAATCTGCCGGAGCCCCGAGGGCCTCAAATGAGATCCGGGCTGGGAAAGTAGAAGGGGCCAGGAATTTGAGAGAGACGGGGCTCATTTCAGAGCTCAGTCCTCGGTGCTTGAGCTAAACCCCCCCGGAGCTGCAGTCCCACTGCCGCGGTTGGTGAGTTCCTGCGATGGGGACCTGGAGCGCTGGCGGGGACGCAGCCCGACCCACCACCTCCCGGGCTTTGGACCCCGGAGGTGGAAGGGCACGGAGCTGAGGCTGTACAGCTCTCTGGAGCTCCGGGGCGTCTGGCCAGGGTGGAGGAGGAAGGTGGGGGCGTGGGGGGGATTTTGTTTTGTCTTGTTTTTTTTTAAAGCCTGTCGCTTGGAATGGCCATGCTCCCTACTACCTCTCTTGGACAGGCAGAAAGCCATCAGCACAGGAGGGTTGTACTAATGACCACAGGGTACCCAGGGGGTCTTTCAGGGTAGAGTGGGATAGAATGAGAAGCTGATGGACAATGGACAGGTTGGGCGGAGTGGACAGGGGGGGAAGGGGGGCGGTGTCAGGATGTGTTCAAGGATTGGGACTCCACTTCCATAATTTCTCAACTTCTGCCCATAGACGGCGCCATGCGGCTCCCTGACCTGACACCCTGGGCCTCCCTGGTGCTGGTGGACTTGGCCTTCCTCTGGTTACTTCAGGGGTCTCTGGGGACTGTGCTTCCTCGGGGGCTACCAGGACTATGGCTGGAGGGGACTCTGCGACTTGGAGGGCTGTGGGGGCTGCTGAAGCTGAGAGGGGTGCTGGGATATGTGGGGACACTACTGCCCCCGCTCTGCCTGGTGACTCCCCTGTTTCTCTCCCTGAGAGCCCTGGTCTCCGGGGCCTTGAGTGCTCCTCCCATCAGTGTGGCTTCAGCCCCTTGGAGCTGGCTGCTGTTGGGGTACGGGGCTGCAGGGCTAAGCTGGGCTGTGTGGGCTGTGCTGAGCCCTGCTGGAGCCCAGGAGAAGGAGCAGGGCCAGGAGAAGAGCAAAGCCTTGATGTGGAGGTTGCTGCAGCTCTCCAGGCCAGATGTGCCCTTCCTTGCTGCTGCCTTCTTCTTCCTTGCTGTTGCTGTTTTGGGTGAGTTGGGAGAAGATATTGGGAATTGGGGATGGTGGGGAAAGGGCCTTGGCACCAAAACATTCATCTGTTGCTTTCCTGCCTCTTTCAGGTGAGACATTTATCACTCACTATTCTGGTCGTGTAATTGACATCCTGGGAGGTGATTTCGACCCTGATGCCTTTGCCAGTGCCATCGGTTTCATGTGCCTCTTTTCCTTTGGGAGGTAGGTGATGGGCAGTTGGGTCCATTTGCCAGCCCTCTTGTCAGGGGCCGTCATGGTCCTGATGCCACTTTCAAACCCTGTTTCTGCCCATAACAGAAAATATTTAAACTCAAATATGGGTTACTTTGTTCATATTTTGTTTCATCCATCCATTCTTTTCTTCTTTTCCTTCATATTTGCTCAACGTCTTCAAGTTTATATTCCATTATTATAGGTACAAGAACAAGGGACTGTAATACGAAAGTGGTTTATGTGTCCAGTGGACTGTCTCTTGGTTACCTCTCAACTTTTCTGTTTCCATGAAATTCCCTTTCTCCTTTCTGCCTCCGTCCTCCCACCAGTATGTGGATCTCCAGAGTATCTCTCCAGGGTGGTCCTCTTGTTGGAGTGAGCATGTTTCTGCCTCTTGACTCTTCTTTCCTAACTCATCTTGCCAAACCCAGAAGATCTTAGTGGGAGAATTATCAGCTTTCCTTATAGTTTCTTTACTCTTTTCCTCTTCATTTGCTTTCCCCTCTTTTTAGACAAACTCAGGAGTGTACTCACCCCAAACAAACAAAGGAACTGCTTGGTAGGGCCAGGATGAGGGGAGTAGGATGAGGTGACTGAGGCACTCAGGGTGCAAAATTTAAGGAAGTGCCCACTCACCTTACCCCAATCCCAGCCCAGTTTGATGCTGCTCCTTTTTTCTTTTCTTTTTTTTTTTTTTGAGACAGGGTCTCACTATGTCACCCTCGGTAGGCTGCCGTGGCATCACAGCTCACAGCAACCTCAAACTCTTGGGCTTAAGCCATTCTTTTGCCTCAGCCTCCCAGGTAGCTGGGACTACAGTCACCCACCACAATGCCTGGCTGTTTTTTGGTTGTAGTTGTTGTTGTTTGGCAGGCCTGGGCTGGATTCGAACCTGCCAGCTCTGGTGTATGTGGCTGGTGCCCTAGCCGCTGAGCTACAGGTGCTGAAACGATGCTGCTCCTTTTTTACAGCCATCCTTCATTTAGAGGACCCTCAAAGCCAGTTCTTCACCATGCCATCATCCCATACTTGCTTCTTTCTTCTGACACTCACCACAGTCATGTGCTGTGTGACAACATTTCAGTTAACAATGGACTGCATGTAGATGGTGGTCCTGTAAGGTTGTAACACGGTACTTTTCCTGTATTTAGACATGTTTCAATACACCAAGACTTCCCATTGTGTTAGTTGCCTGCAGTATTCCGTTCAGTAACATGCTGGTCAGGTTTGTTTCCAGGAGCAATAGCTGAACCACACAGCCTTGTTGCGTGGTATCTGTGTCATCTAGATCTGTGTAAGTACCTGAGTTGTTCATGTGTCACCAAAACCATCTGGTGACACATTTCTCAGAATATTTGCCTGTTTTTAAATGACACATAACTGTACTCAAATGTACTTTTTATTGATCAATCCATTGCTAAGAAAAAATCAGTCCCCAATTACTTTTCACTTCTGTGTAGCATTTGCCACTAGTACATGTAT